TCTTCTCTGACATGAAATGTGCATGCTTAGGGCCTTTCTGTCAATCATTCTTCGGTATATTTCGCGCGGTTGAGTAATGATAACATTACGTCATCAAAATCTTGGTTCAATAAAATTGTAAGTAAATTTAGTTTAGTAGGTAAAGTAAGGTTTACATAGGTATAGGTCGAAGTTTTACTATGATATTTTGATGAGTATTTTAAGTTCTGAACATGTTTTAATGATGATCGATTGAACAGCGAACCAACTCGACCAGTGCGACAACGCCTTAAATAAACAGAATGTGAGAGCTTGAACGAGCTAACAACGCCAACCCACACCTTCAAACCTCAACGTTGATTGGCTGGATACAAATCACACCACTTGCTACATCACGTGTGTAAAGATCTCTCCACCGTTAGTATAAAAGGGCGCGCACAACCCAAATTCGTCAGTGGACGTAGACGAAGTAAAGCTTAAATTATGAAAAGCTACGAAAACTCAAAACGAAACAGCACGAACAAAGAAGACAGACTAAAGACAACGAAGATTTAAAGGAATGAATGAACGTTAGTAAAACTACTACAAGAAGAACCTGCCTGAACACGAAGGAACGAACCGTATTGAACATTAAAGAACCGTTAGTTATCTAAATTTGCTGTAACGATTCCCTACCTCGCGTAGAAAAAAGAAATAAAATATATATTTCTAACAGTATTTTCCCAAAAATAGCCCGTGGCCTCAATTTCAAATATAACTAAATGAAAAGAAAAACCTTTTAGGCGTTTGTAGGTATCAAACATATCGTCAGAAAAATAGGGGCTCACAATGTTTTAGCTGAGTCTTTGAGACCCAGTTGCTTCGCACGTGTTGTTGTCAAATTTTTGCCAAGAATCAAAGGCCGAAATGTGAACTTCCTTCATGAAAACCGGCTCGACAAGGGTTTAGTTTGAAAATTTAGCTATTAATTTCGATTTCATGAGCATATTTTGGTTACACGTTAAATATTTTTGTACTTGATGAGATTCAAAATTTGTTGTCTATTCAAGCCCGGCTTTAGTGTAATTTTGGTGATGACCGGAACAGAAATAAAGATATTTTAAAAACTGGCCGTGGCCTCACGATAAAACTTTCTAAAAATGTTCTCTGTTTCATGTATTTTTATTTGATATCTTAGGTATAAGTGTAAAAATAGGGGCTCATACAGTTTACGAGGTTGTAAAATGCATGACTTACCTTTATTTCCATGTAAACATTCGAAATTTTTCGACAGCAAAGTAGCAACTGTTTCAGATCGAATGCACACGGACAGCCCACCAGCGACAATGTCAGGGTACTGAAATAGAACGTCACTAAAAAATTCTGTATGACTAATTTAGATCATGTCCATTTTCAACATAAAACAGTCATTTATTTTGTACAAACATTTGGCAATATTTCACACGATTGTGCCTTTTTGTAAACACGCGCGCGTTGCGTGTATTCCACTCAATTGCGTGACTCATTTCGCTCGCGCATGCTCAGACAAATTTCCCACCTGTTTGCAGGCTCACCTTTTTGCCAGTGAGCCTGCTCGCAGGCTGAATTTTAGGCAATTTTATGCGGGAAATTAGGTGGAAATTTCCGGTTTCGGTTGTTTCCGGTTTCGGTCGTTTCCGGATTCGGTCATTTCGGTTTCCGTTCTTTACAGAGACCCGATGGCTTGAATGTTTGTGAAAATGCCTACATTTTAGTGGGAGCTATATTCCTGTAGCTACAATATTAGGGAGCTTTAGATTTGACTACGAGTACGACTACGAGTACGAGATTTGTCAAGCTAAACGCATGCTGTATGCTTACGCCATCCCGTACTGACGCTAAAAAGTCGTAGCCGTCACCCATCTGAGTACGAAGTTGTGGAGAAACCTCGTAGTCCTCACGACGACTTTTAAAAAAAAAACAAAGAAAGTTGACTTTTTTTTGTTTTCCAAAAATAATTTGTAGCATTTATATAGCGTTTATCCGGCGCAAATAATATATTAGTGCTAAATATCTGGCCTGTTTTTAATGTTATGACTTATTTACACGTTTTGTAGGGGATTTTAGTCGGCAGGAGATTTACTTTATGAAACTTTTTCTGTAGTTGTTGGTTTACTGTTATAAAAGCAACATTTGAATGGAAACAAAAACGACTACGGTAATTTCCTCGCACGCGATCAAATCTCGTACTCGTAGTCGTACTCGTAGTCAAATCTAAAGCTCCCTATTGTCTAAACGACGGGGTCAAAATCACACAATGTAAACAAAATTTGAAACCAGAATTATAATTAGAAAGTTTAATGCAACATAAACATACGACATTTATTCGACTATATCTGTGCGAATATTACAGGTACAATAATTTTACGTATATTATCAGATAGCTGATGCATGCAGCTATTACATAATATTATTACATAATATTGTAGCTAGAATATTGAGCGAGAATTCGTTGCCTAAACGAGGGTGTAAAAATTGCCGTCGGAATACACATTCTGGTCGGAATATATGTCTGGTTTTAGGCACGAGGTTCAACCGCTTATATTAATTCGAAATTTAACGACATACACCCCTAACGCGGATGGTTTGAAAGCTTGTGAAAATGCCTACATTTTAGTGGGATTTATATTCAGGTTAGTAGAAAATTCGCCGAGAAAATGTTCGCAACAAACTGTTGTTATATGCCACGGAAAATCAAAAATATATTACATTTTCAAAATCTCGCCTTGCTGCGCATGTAAGCACACGCATTTGAAGCTTTCAAAATATATAGTTATAAACCCGTAAAGATACAGTTGGAACGAAAGTTTATTAAAATTGAAACGACCTTATTTTGAAAATGATTTTCTTGAAAATTGATTTTGCGTCCTCGTTTCACCGTATATCAAAATCGAGCTTCAAATCAACAGTATTGTCTATTGATAAATAGTATTCACTATAAAAACTAGCTATATAAAAACTAACCTTCACTGTGTTTCCTCCAGAATATTAAATAGAATATCAGCCTTGCACAAAATGCGATTTCTTGAGGTTGTTTGCTGCTTTAACTTGTTTGTTGGGATTTTCGGTCTCCTTGTGTCAGGGCCTCCGCCAAAACTTGACATATAATTAAATTAAATTCCATGTTTTACAGATTCCGGCTTTTACAATTCCATGTTTTACAGATTCCGGCTTTTACAATTCCGGGTTTTACAGATTCCGGCGTTTACAATTCCGGGTCATTCCATTCCCCATTCCATTCTGGGATTCCCCGTTCCATGTTTAACAGGTAGCCTATTCTTTATTGTCGAAATATTCGGCTGTTTCATTCTAACACAGATATACTACTGCGTTATAACCAAGACATATATAGCCATTTCCTAGGGGGCATAGCATAGCTACAAGTAGCTACAGGCAATTCTTGTGGCTTTTTTCCAAAGAAATAAACTATTTGCATGGATTCACAATCCGCAATCCGTAATCCGTAATCCGCAATCCGTAATCCGCAATCCGTAATCCGCAATCCGTAATCCGCAATCCGTAATCCGCAATCCGCAATCCGTAATCCGCAATCCACAATCCGTAATCCGCAATCCGCAATCCGTAATCCGCAATCCGTAATCCGCAATCCGTCCACCATGCCTGTTAACAACAATTACAATACAGTAGTCAAGCAAGACTTTGCTGTAGTCAAGTAAGTTGATAGGTGGGTGGCGCACATGACTGACACAACTCGGCACCAGAGCTGGCAGAGCACCCTCCCTACCATATCATACTGGATCCATATTTAGATCAGTGATCCATCTGTGCTAAATATACAGCTGTTAAAACAGTGTTAAGAACACATGCACAATGACTTCAGTAAACAAACACAGGAAATTGAGTTTGAAAACATTTATTTATTTGAAAAAGGAATTTTGCCAAGGTTAGTATTCCCAGATAATCACAGAGCCTGAGGCGAATAATTGTTTTAGTATTTTTGCACAAGTTTTTTGTATTTTTCTGGTCTGAATTCATTTTAATTTCGCTTATTTCTTTATTACTAACTTCAACAAAACAGCTAGCCGCCATTTTGAAAATTTCGATTTTGTTATAATATTTAACAATTATTGGATGAGGTTTTTGTGATATGCGGAATTATCACATACTTGTACCTTTATCAGGTAGGAAGCAGCGGGACATAAAAACGATATCGTCCCGGATATCGTTTTTTGTCCCGGATATCGTTTCTTGTCCCGGATATCGTTTTTTGTCCCGCTAAATTTCGCGCCTTGTCAAAACAAAGATGGCCGACTCGAGGTTCGTGTTGGTTGATGTCGACAGTTTATCGAAGAAAACAAGAACGATAATACAAAACGAAAGACTTAAATTGTATATTATTTATATGAATGGTCTATTTATTTTCTAAAATCATATTTGTTCAGTAAATGATGAATTGTTTTGAATTCCAAAATGATCCTATTTTTTCAAAACTGTTTACTTTTGGGTGTCAAACCCTGATAAAGGTACAAGTATATAATAAATAGGTTATCGTACTCGGGATTCGGTGATATCAGTTTTATCGCTCTCGGGACGATATCACAATTGTCCCTCGCTCGCTGCGCTCGCTCGTGACAATTGTGATATCATCCCTCGAGCGATAAAACTGATATCACCTCATCCCTTATATGATAACCTATATTTATCAAGGTCGAGGTAAGCGTTATCAGCCGAGCCGAAGGCGAGGCTGATAACGCTTACCGAGACCTTGATAATTTTGCATATCGCAAAAACCGAATTCAATAATTGTTTTATTATACATTTGAAGAATAATAAACATTAGTATTTTAATACTATGTTTATTATTCTTCAAATGTATAATAAAACAATTATTGAATTGGTTTTTGCGATATACAAAATTATCAAGGTCTCGGTAAGCGTTATATTCAATATGATTTCTGGCAAAGCTGTTCAAGTAAAACGTTTCTATAAACAAGTCTCCGGAAGTCCAACAGTTAAATTAATTACAAATATAAAGAAACATATTATCGTTAAGATGTTAACGTATTTAATATTTACTTGTTAATATTCAAGTAAAAACGAACGCCTTGTTCTCAAACAAGTTGCTTTTATACATAGAAGACCATAACATACTCCACAGTGGTAAGTCAGGATACCGCAAAGGCCACTCCACCAACTCAGTGTTACTGCGAATCAGAGACGACATCATTCGTGCGATGAAAAAAGGAGAAGTTACGCTCATCGCCTTCGCTGACTTCTCTAAAGCATTTGACACTGTCGAGTATGCCACCGTGTTTAAGAAACTTCACAACGTCGGTTTCTCTCATGATGCAATCTATTGGGTATTGAATTACTTAACTGGGAGAAAACAGTATGTTCAAATTAATGAGAAACAATCGCAGGAAGTTGATGTACAGTTTGGAGTACCGCAGGGATCTATTTTGGGGCCTGTGCTGTTTAATTTGTATGTAAACGATTTGGAACCAGATTTGGAATGCTCATGCTATCAGTATGCCGATGATACGACCTTGTATCGACATAGCGTCCCTTCAAAGATACATGAATGCGCTAAGAAACTTCAGGATGCAATGACTGTGCTTGAAAACTGGGCAGTAGAATCAAATCTCGCCCTTAATGAGACAAAAACCAAACAAATGTTAATAACAACCTCGAAAATGTCCAGAATACACGGACTTGACACCGTTGTTCCTGATATCAGAGTCAAGGCACAAACATTAGAGAAAGTTGAAGAATTCAAACTTTTAGGCACATGGTTTAGTGATAACCTCAAATGGGGATGTCACATAAAACACGTAACTTCATCTTGTTACGCAGTTCTCTCCACCTTAAAGAAATTAAGAAATCTTACACCATTCCATATCAAAAAACAGTTGGCAGAATCTTTGATACTTTCAAAAATATTTTATAATATAGTCGTCTATCACCCACTACCCGCGACCCAACTAAAGAAACTACAGCGCGTCCAAAACGCAGCCGCAAGCTTTGTAACCAACAAATACTGTCGCATAGGAGATGTGTTGTCATTGGGATGGCTGCCAATACATGAAAGAACCGAATTTGAACTTATGCGTTTCGCGCACAAGTCCATATGGGATCATTCCTGGCCTCAATACCTGAGCTTAGAACTGCGTACTAACAATCGACTACTTCGATCAAGTAATGCCCCATCGTTAATGGTACCATTGGAAACAGGAACATTCCAGGATTGTTGTGCGAAGATTTTTAATGAACTACCTACACATTTGAGAAATGTTCACGATTACAGACCCTTTTTGAACACACTCAAAACTCTCCTTCTGAATAAGGCTCGAGAACGAATCGAACATTTATAACATTTTAGCTATTTGATTCAATTTTTAGCTTAACTATTTCATATACATTAATCTCCTTTTACTATTTTTCCAAATATCATATATACATATATATTTATCTTAGTTTAGGTATTAAGGATGTAGAGCTACTATGTAGATATGCCTTAATAAATTCGTTATTATTATTATTATTATTAATGTACATATATTCATTCGAAAATTGAAATGTACACTCATTTGAAATGTACACTCATTCAATTTCACGCAACCTACACAAAATTCAGTTATCTGCTAGCAGATAACTGAATTTTGTGTAGGTTGCGTGATTGCGCGATTTAACTGTAAGCTCTTAGCCAATCAAATTGCTTTTACCAACTACAATGTATAATAAAACAGATTAAGAGGGAATCTCCACTATCACCGAGCAACTGGTGGCACATGATGAAAAATGAAAAGTTTTCTTATTTTGTCCAGTGATATACTAATGTATACTTAGAAACGTGATGGCGTTTGTTTTCTGAAATATTATTTTAAACGCCGAAAAATTATCAAAACCTGACATGTACCCAAGACTCGTGAAATTAGCTAAAAACATAGTGAGTCATAGCCTCTCGAAAACTTCGTTTTGCTCAGTTCGCGTCTTTAGGAAACCTCACTTTCGGTTTTTAAACGTGTATATAAGATGTTTATAAACAACGATAGTCTATTTTGCAATCTTTTAAATGATGTTTCAAAGTCAAGGCAAGCGTGTAAAAATCGCCTTATTTTGCGATCCAAAAAATTCTAAATTGTTACACTTTTTGAAAATTAATTTTCCGTATCCGGGAAAATTTCAATTTCCTTGAAATTTAGGGAATTTAAAGAGAAACTGTTGCTCTAAAAGCTGATGTAAAAGTTATTTTGGGGCTTTTTGTTACCGCGGAATTACACTGACTATAATATCGGGAAAATCACAAGAAAAACCTTAAGTTAAAAAATTTTAAGTTTGGTACATTTTTTGAAAATCAATTTTCCCTTTCCGGTAAAACTCCGATTTCCTTCAAATTTAGACAAATGTATGAGCAAATGTTGCTCTCAAATCTGGTGTAAAAAATATTATGGGGTGTTTTGTTATCACGAAATTATCCCCGAGCCGGCGACGCGAAGCGCCGTGCAAGGGTACTAATTTCCCCCGGCTATATACACCCGGGGAAACGAAAGCATTAGGGAAGTCTAAAGTTCATCAATGAGCGCGGGCGTCGGTCACCAACGATGGGTGGTCATCCTCACTGATCTCAAAAATATGGCGGACTGTCATGAATAACGGACACTGATTGGTCCAATTTAAAGTTTGCATTATAACGACTGCATAACGACAGCGAAATAGCAAACATTTCTTGATTTGATGAGTTGATGATTGATAAATTTGTCAAATTTCTTGCAAATATTCTTCATTTTTGCTCGTATTTCTGCAAGATTTTGTAAATTTCAAGAATGAAAGGGCCAAAGGATCAGCTAAAAGAACGGAGCTGACGTTAACGAAGGTAAGTTTGTTTTAAATATTGATTTTATAATGGCTTTAAAACCCGACGGCTTTTGCGTATATCAAACAACTAAACAAGACATACAAGACAGCATATAATTTCAGTGTATCTTTAATATTGATTCCCTTTTTTATTATATTGAATTTTTTAAATAAAAAATAAAGCAAAGTTACTTGCAGCGAGAATTTGAAATCATTTTATTGCAAACTCAAAGTTTATCGATAAAGCCATTTAATAGTTAAAGGCAGTTTAGTTTTATAAAGAACAATTTAAAACGTTTTGTGAATTGTTTGTTGTTGAATTTTACCTTAAATTGAAGCTTGTATTAAGATATATGTGTTAGGTATGTAATTATACGTGGGAAATTGATAATTTTGTAATTAAAAGTGATATTTATAGGCGATTTTCATTTGTAAGAATATTCTTAAAAAATTATCGTGTTACCATAACAACTACTTTAGATACTTCATGTTCGGAAAATACAACGGTTTTGTTAGCAAGGCGAGGGTTTCTGCATGCATGTATTTTCTAGTTTCATATTAATCTGACACTGCAATCGACCAACGAAAAATTCGTTGGCTCGAATTTTTCGTTGATCGATTGCATTCTTATCTCTGAGGATCGAATTCGTATCTCTGAGGATGGTTCTGAAATAGAATTGAAACACTGCGCGTCCTCTGAGACAAGCGTTAGTCGTCACGAAAATATTTCGTGCACTTAAATTGGATAAGACTCGCTACCAATCCCTGTTGACTCGATAGCTCAATAGGTAGAGCGGCGGTCTAGATACCCGAAGATGCGAGTTCAAATCCCGCTCGAGCCAACGAATTTTTCGTTGCTCGATTGCAGTGTCAGATTAATATGAAACTAGTTTTTGGTATCTCTGAGGATGGTTCTGAAATATAATTGAAACACTGCGCGTCCTCTAAGACAAGCGTAAGTCGTCACGAAAATA